GATGCCTGATGAGACTTAAGTGCCAAAAGACACGGAGAGCAAATGATGAGAGAGGGAGAGAGGGCGAAGGAGAAAGAGTGAGTGTTAATGGTGGGGGTTGAGATGAAGTGAGCAAGAGGAGAAATGAGCGAAGGAGGGAAGAGGATAGATGAATAACGAAAAATAACCCAGAGAAGGATGACAAAGGATAATCCAAGGAAGAGGAAGGCAGAGTGAATAGTTGAAGGGAGTGCTAAGAGAGAGATTGGCAGTCTGGAGGGGAATGTAACAGGACCAGAGAAGGAAATTTTTATAAGCAATTGACACGGACTGAGAAATGAGGAAAACTGGGCATAACCAATAACATCCTGCAGCTAGGATACCTGACATCAGGAGTGAAGGAGCATTAGACTGATAAAGATAAAAAATGTCAGAAATCAACAAAGAGACAGGAAGAGGCAGTGTGTGTACGAGGAGGTGTGAGTTTGATGTGCTCTGGAGTCTGTGTCCATCTCAGGTGGGGACTACAGGCGAACACACAAACTCCTTGATGACAGCACAGGTCAAGAAAAGCTGCCAACAGTCAAAAAAGCCAAGCATTAGTTATTCCATCTGTTAATAGTGAACAATGCAGCCGGGGCTCCAACTGTAAGCACAGAAGAGTGCTTGCAGCCTTGTTGGCAATTGAAATGTGGTGGTGTCTGTGTGGTTCAGATCAGTACCCAGGCCCCATGTTCACTCATACCAAACTGAACAGGAAGCTCTCTGAGCTCTCAACGAGATCAGAAAGAAACACATTCCCCAGAAATCACCTTCTCCATTTACAAAGTACAAATGTAACAACAGCTGAACACTGGAGGAAAAGCTCAGGGTGAGCCCCAGGATTGAGCTTGTCAGTGAGTGACTTGGAGTTTTATATAACTCACAGGAGCTGTGCTCATTGACTTCATCTCCTCCCTGAGTTGAGTTGAGCACAGGGAAAAGAACTTAATTCTGGGCAAATTGATAGCTTTGAAAGAACCTGGAAAATTGTTGTCATGAATAAGGAATGATGCTGTGAAAGAAATTCTAACATCTGTTTAGCAGTGATCCTGGAGATGGAGGAGTTCATGATCGAGAGATTCCCGGACAGAGACGACAAAGAGCATAGGGAAAATTGTTCGGCTGAATGAACCTCTCCAGACTTTAATGTAGTCTGGTTGAATCCTGGAATTTAATAGAATCATTGAATTAAATTGAATTAATTGAATTAGCTTTATTGTCATGTACTCAAATGAGTATAGTGAAAAGTTTATAATCGCCACTTATGGGGCTATCTGGAATTCAAACCTGGTTCAATTGTGACCATGTAACTGCTGACAATTGTTGTGAATACCCACCTGGTCCATTCATATCTGTAGAGCCACAGGAATGTGTTTGACTCCTTGCCTGCCAGATAAAAACTGAAAGAACTACAAATGCTGGAAATCAGAAACAAAAACAGAAGTTGCTAGACAAGCTCAGCAGGTCTGGCAGCATCTGTGGAGAGAAAGCAGAGTTAATGTTTCGGGTCGAGTGACCCTTCCTCAGAACTGATAGCAGCTAGGAAAAAGTTGGTTTTTGTACAGAAAATGGGGTGAGGTGAGGGGATAAGGAGTAAAAAAAGTAATATTTACTCCTTACCCCACCCCCACCCTATCTTCTGCATAAAACCCGACGTTTTCCTAGCTACCATCAGTTCTGAGGAAGGGTCACTCGACCTGAAATGTTAACTCCTTACCGGCCAGTTAGGGATGGGGAGAAAGTTCTGGCCTGGCCATGATGTCCACATGCCATGGATATAGGGTTAGTCCTTGATGTATTGTGCCAATTGCTGGAGATTGGGGTGGCAGGTCTCACAGCTTCCTTTCTGGCCTCCCAGTTATGTTTTCTGTGCTGCTCTGACTGGTTCTTTGTTTCTGCTGATTTATGGTTTAATGATAAGTGCAGCTGAACAGCTTGTGTTATTAATCATAAACATCGTGCTGTTCCAAATGGACCTTATTATAAACCACAGGTTTCCATGAAGTTAAGCTGCTTTATTTAAACATTTAAATATAGAACCTTTTACACAACCTTCTAATCAAGAAATTATTTATCAAGAGCTGAGGGATGTTTTAAACATTTCATTGTGCAGTTTCTGAGGTTCTGCTATCATGTTACAAACAGAAACCATTTTGTTCAGTTTTGGAGGGAACTTCCCATCTCATTCACTGCTCCGTCCATTCGCAAGTTATTGTGTTGAGCTGTTAATGGTGTTGAAGTGAATCAGAGCGTGTGCCAATTTATATAGAGCTCTTCTAACATAATGCAATCTTAACAGGAACAATGGCATTGAGGTGACGGAGGAGATTTGACTGCAGCATCATCTCATCTATCCACTCAATACCATTACATGTACCTGCAGCCAGCATAGCTCTTGGTGTCTGGGGGTGCACTGGTGTCAGGTGATCATTTAAATGTCTCTTCAACATTCCTCTCTCTCTGTCAATTCCTTGGATTCTCCAGATATTGTTCTTGTTAAGATTACATTATGTTAAATCAACTTCTCTGCTGCCTGGAGGATTCCACAGGAGTTGTTTAATACTCAACATATTTCAAGAGTCAGGACAGACATGAACCAGACAATCATAGATCATAGAATCCCTACAATGTGGAAAACAGGTCAGTTGGCCCAACAAGTCCACAGCGGCCCCCTGAAGGGCATCCCAACCAGACCCATTCCCCTACCCTATCCTTGTGACCCTGCATTTCCTGCAGCTAATCCACCTAGACTATACATCCCTGTACACCTATGGGCAATTTAGCATGGCCAATCCACCTAACCTGCGCATCTTTGGACTGTGGGAGGAAACCGGAGCACCTGGAGGAAACCCACGCAGACATGGGGAGAATGTGCAAACTTCACACAGTCGCCTGAGGGTGGAGTTGAACCTGGGTCCTTGGTGCTGTGAGGCAGCAGTGCTAACCACTCAGCCAATGTGACACCCTCAGCAGACTGCAGCACCACTGCAGATACCCCTGATCCCCAATCCCAACCATCCAATCCTGACCTTCCCAATCCCAACCATCCTAATGCTCCAAACCTGACCATCTCCCTCCTGACCATCCCAGGCCCCAGTTCTGACCATCCCAATCCCCGCCATCCCAAACCCAACGATCCCAATCCCCATTCCCAATTTTCCCTCTGTCACTGATCAGCGCAGTGTCCGTGTAGCCACAGTTTGGGAACAGAAGGCATCAAAAAATAAAATCTCCAAACCATCATGAATCAAACCATCCAATATTCTACACAAAACCTGAATAAATCTTCCTTGTGCATTATTTCAGTGGCCATCTCTCCTGTGCTGTTGCCTGGCCTAAAGCAGTGTTAGCCCAGAGATTGCAGCATTGCTCTGGCAGAACGCTACTGACATTCCGATGAGAAACTACAGATAGACTTACTGGCCAAATCTGACTAGCTCTGATCCTCTGAAGACCTGCTTTGAACTGTAGCAGGTTGGCATGGGAGATCAGATCTAGGTTGGCCTCTTGATAGACAACAGCAAGACACTGGTGAAATGGCAGTAGTGGGAGAACAAATCAGTCTTCCTGAGAGATGGCAGCAGGTTCTTGCTCCATACAACCTCTGGGTAGCAATTCTTGTGATCAGTTGGAGTACTAGAGCATTGTGAAACCTTACGAATCCCTTTAGGAACTGATGCAGTCACGATAACAACAGTGATTATTATTGGGGGTAAAAATTGTTTCAGAGATAGTAGGAACTGCAGATGCTGGAGAATCTGAGATAACAAGGTGTAGA